TCGCTGTGCTGCACCTGCTCTCTAGTATTTCACCCCCCCCCCCCCCTCACTCACTGCACATCCTGCTGGACTTTCACTCTACTCCTCCCTGGCAGATTTCCTGTTACCGACTCTTCCTTTTGTCCGCGACCTCGAGCTCCTGTGAGATAAATGGATGTTGTTGCCTTGTTTTCCCGTGTGAACAAAGCCTGGTTGGGTCTCGCTGCTCCGGGGTCCCACCCCCCCGTCACAGGACAATCCCATTGGGACAATCGGTATTCTTCGGTTTTCTGTTAATTGGTCCATTTAATCGAATACAGTAGAATCTACAGCAAGAACTCAGTCCAGTCCATCTAAAGCAAACTAGCAATCAAATTACTGTAAACTATAACTTTAGCAGACCAGCTTGGTTTAAAGAAAGGATACTCAGGTGGTCCTGATGTCTGAAGGCCCCGTAGTGGAGATGCACGCTCTAAGTACGGAGAGTTCCATGAAGCCGGAGCAGAAGAAGGAACCACCACTGATCCCGGTTAGTGATTTCATTTTGATGAAAGGACACTCAGATAATCCAATAATCAAACTTTGTGTGATGTTTCAAGCAGAAATATTTATTGAAGCTTTGACAGGCAGATTTGAGCAGAATAACTGGAGTCATGACACCGTAGTCACTTCCATCTCTGGAGACCACAATCCCAAAAAGACTTACCTCTTACAAAATGTATTCTGTGTCCAGATTAATCTACATGGGAAAATGACTCTGTGTAGACTTCAATCCACTTCAGGGATGAACGCTGGAGCCTTCACACGTATATTAAAATATCAATCTCAGATATCTATGAATCAATATCAGATCACTCAAAAGAAGATTGATTTAAGTTTCAAAATCTGAATTTGTCTGAACTTTACACTGACGCCACATTATTCAGCAGACATAAATGAAGGTTTCTTTCTCCTTTTGGAAAACCTTCTCTGGTGAGTTCACGTTGTACCGACTCAACACCACAGATGACTTTTCAAGTATCTCCTAAACGTCTTGTCTCTGATGCCGTAGAGGATGGGACTAATGGATCTGGGCAGGACCTGTACAATAATGTAGAACGCAAATAAATGGTCTACATGATTCTCAGGGAAGAATTGCTTGAGGACATTTAACACCTGCGGCCCCGAGTAAGTTGCCATGCAAAGCAGCAGCTGGAACCCATGGAGGATGATTGTGTTTTGGGCCTTTTTAGCATCTATGCTAGCTTTCTTAGCGGTGAACAGGATGTTGAAGTAAGTGTAGAAGATGGTTATCCAAACAATAACTAGAAACACTGAATATGTGATATCTCTCTTCTTGATGATGAGGGGATTTGGGAAGACAGTTTGTCTGAGACAGAAGACTTTGGAATTAAAGAAGTTCAGCGGCTCTGTGGCCAAAGTGATGAACAGATCAGGAAGAACTGACAACATGGTGGTCGACCACATAAAGCCAATCAGCATCAAGGTTCTCCTGACGGTGCAGATCAGCGCGTGGCGAAGGGGGAAGCAGACGGCGATGTAGCACTCCACCGCCATGCAGGCCAGGTTCAGAGGAGTGTTTTCAGTGGTGAAGAGAGCAAGCAGGGTGAAGATGCAACAAACGGAGACTTTCAGTCTGTAGACGGTGTAGCTGAGGACGAACAGGAGGACAGTCAACGTCAACTGGATCATGTCGTTGACCACCAGGTGAATAAAAAGGATGTAGCGAGGATTTGTGTAGAAGATCTACAGGGTGGGAAGAAAAGCACAACATCTGAGGTCAGAGCATCGAACTTAAACAGGGACGAATGCTCCAAAAGTTAAATAAGGGAATCCAGGATTCATCAATAATCCATTTAATGTTTTTACTTTATAGCTTTCTAACTTAGTCAGCTGCTAACATTGAACTTTTCAAAATGTTCATATTCATGGAAATATCCGACCTGGTGTTTGCAGAAGGTGCGAATGAGGCCGGCATTGATGTAGTTGATGGAGATCCCGAGAACCACGACTATCACGTTCTTGGTCAGCGCTTTAGAGAAGGAGTCTCGATACTGTAAAACCAACGTCACGTTGGCAGACGACACGTTCATCTCTTCTAACTGGAAAGAAAACAAGAATATTCTTCAGTTTCAACTAGATGTACAACGATCAACTGGTGTGCGTCTTTACAGGTCCAATGCTCTGTAAATATACAATATATGTTATTAGTTAGAAAAAGGCCGATAACCAATATTTGCAGGTGATCTACATATTGTACATTTGCAGTAAAACTTGTAATCTTGGTGGCAACATTTGAATAACACAAAAACAATATTAATCTTTATTGTGTACCACCCATTTCACGTTCGCCGTGGAGAGATTCTCTTCACAACTAAAAGGAGCATTTGTAATTTCACAAGACAGAAAGTAACAAGTAAGAGAAACAATGAAAGGCTTCATTCACAACGTATGAGACGTTGTTTCTCCCCCGGATGAGTCACAGCTGTGGTGCACTTAGCTAGTTGGGGGGTCGTCGTGGGGCAGGGGGTAGAGCGGTGCACTGGGAATCATTTAGCGTCTGCTAAATGACCTGTAATGTAATGATGTTGTGTAAGCAACCTACAGTACACATAATAACCAATCATTTTAAAGAGTATCAGTACTAAATGCTGCGTTTCTTAACAATTAACTTCTTCCGCACAAACCTATCGATATGCTTCCATCTACAGCAAATATACGAACAACGATCCATTCATAATGTTTTTTATTTCCAGTTCTTAAAACCCTGAAAGTGTGCTTTTCTCTGCATAATTGAGTTCCAGAAGCTTGGACAGTTGGCTTTCTTTTGGTGTAAATAAGGGTTTCATTGTCGACATCAGTCCTCTGTCACAGGTTGAAGGATCTTAACACTGTTAAACATTCAAAGCTAATAACTAACAAAGACACTCAATAACAACAGATCATGCAAGTTTTAACAATGACAAGACAATAAATCAACATTTATGTTTTTCAAACCATCAAAAAAAGATCATTTTAAAGCCGAGTACAAAAAATAAAGACTGTCAGTGACAGAAAGTCTGTACACAATAGCGTTACGATCAGTTGAGTCCACAGCGGGGGGCCACTCACCGTAGTCAATGCATGGAGACCAGGACACCGCCCGTTCCCTCAGATCTCCACCCTTATATGTGGCTTGCTGGGAAGTTTCCCAGAATTCCCTTGGGTGTTACGCCAGTGTGTGGATTCAGCATTGTATGAATATTGTGGCTTTTTGTGAGCACATATGCGAATTTTCACAAAGATACAAATCTGTTTTCACACATTCTAAATGTGGGAAAGTTACTTCAAATATATAAAGACAGGTTTGACATTTTAAATGTGATCAAATGTGGTAGGCAATATAAAAACTGGATTTTTAATTCAGCTTGTAGATATTTGAACTACTTTTTGATTTGTTTGAAATGTTTCGATACAGTTTCAACACGTGTGATCCTAATCGAACATTATAAGCTATGTCATGCATGTAAACATGTGTCAGGAGCCATGAACTTAAAGTCCTTGGTGACCAAATTGAAGATTGTCAACAGTCTATTTCAGAAAAGTCCAGTTTCAATGCTACATTTTTGTCAATGGTCACAAAAATGTAAATTCTCTTTTTCTCCAAGAGTCTTTATTGAGTCATCATCAAACATATTCATGGGAAGCAGTCAACTGTTTTGTTTCATTTTTAAATTACAATATACATTTGCAAAACTTCACAAACGCTTAACAAAAGACCTCAGGATTTCCCAGGTTGGGCTGTTCTAGTCGGAATGTTCTGCAGGAACTTGGCGGGTAGGTTAGCTGGTCAGGTCACATCTATCAGAAGACAGCTTGTAATGGACCTTCCCAAGTCGAACATGTCTGCTGGTATCAGGAGCTGTCTCTGCGATGGGTCCCATTGACCGGCAGTTGTGCAGAAGTTTTGAAGCTGTTCCATCTTATTCAAGTCGATGTCCCTTTTCAGATGTCCAGGTGTGACAGGTGGCATTCCTTTCATTTAAAGCTGGTGTGTAAGTGTTAGAGGCTGTATTTTTGGCATCTCGGAGTATTACTGAGATGTGTTGGTCATTGACTGGTGCCAACACGACTTCCACAGCTTGAGACCTCGTCCATGGTTTATCCCTTTGTGATTGGAAAAGGATCTTTCTGACTTTTTGGATGAGGCGCTTCCATGATACCTCCTTATGAGAACCATGAAGAGGATGGAATCCTCCCTTGATACCTTGAGCATGAATTGAGAGCTGGATCTTATCAGTTCAGTCAAACAAGTGCCTCTAAAAGTATGTATTCCACACCAACCAAATGTCTTCCTATATGAGAGACCACCTCCTTCACCCAGCGCTGTCTGCACATTACATGAATCTGTATCCAGGTAGGCCTCTCGACTGGCAACATACACAAACAAGGCACAATACTACTTTATTTTCATGTTTTCTGTCTTTACCCTGGGTTACCCTTCTGCCAGTCTAGTTCGCTGTGAGGGTCCAGATTTGTTTGGGAGTTTAGTGAGATGCAGTCTTAAGAAATGTTTTTTATGCGCTATAGTAAACGCATTCTTTATCCGCTCTGACATCGCCGACTCTCAGGGTCCCTCTCTGGAGGGTCCGTCTCTTTAGTCAAGACGTCAACTCATCTCTGAAGGATTCCAGATATAGAGTGAGTCCTCAGTAAGATCCTCCACAGGCTTTGTTGTCCAGTGAGGAGAGAATTAACAGATGTGTGCAAACACAGACCTGATCAATTGGTTCCATTAATTACCCAGTAAACAAAATGACATCTGACATCTGATTCTGCAGAAAACTTTTTTATGTCAGTATTGCGGTCAGAGGGTACGAGCATGAAGCCTTAACCGATCTTTTGCAGGTTGAGTCTGTGTTATCATTATCAGAGTTATTTTCATGAATTAAATATCTTCAACAAAGCTGCTGCTTGAAAGGCCAATTTTCAAATAAAACAACAAATAAAAAATGAACATTATCCTTAAAATTGTACAAAAATAAAAAGTACATAACCTCAACACAGGACAACACATAGTCAAGATAATTCCCAACGGAAAAAGCATTCATTTCTGTATGTATGTTTCCGAGATCTGGGAAATCTGGGAAATTCATTGCTTCATCACCTGTAGTTGGGAAAATGTTCCTTTTCCTTTTGCAAAAACCTTCTCTGGTGAGTTCACGTTGTACCGACTCAACACCACAGATGACTTTTCAAATATCCCCTAAAAGTATTGTCTCTGATGCCGTAGAGGATGGGACTAATGGATCTGGGCAGGACCTGTACAATAATGTAGAAAGCAAATCCATGGTCTATATGATTCTCAGGGAAGAATTGCTCCAGAAGATCTAACAGCTGCGGCGCTACGTATGTTGTCATACTAAGCAGCAGCTGGAACCCATGGAGGATGATTGTGTTTTGGGCCTTTTTAGCATCTATGCTAGCTTTCTTAGCGGTGAACAGGATGTTGAAGTAAGTGTAGAAGATGGTTATCCAAACAATAACTAGAAACACTGTGTTTGTGATATCTCTCTTCTTGATGATGAGGGGATTTGGGAAGACAGTTTGTCTGAGACAGAAGACTTTGGAATTAAAGAAGTTCAGCGGCACTGTGGCCAAAGTGATGAACAGATCAGGAAGAACAAGCACCACCCTAATGGACCACATAAAGCCAATCAGCATCAAGGTTCTCCTGACTGTGCAGATCAGCGCGTGGCGAAGGGGGAAGCAGACGGCGATGTAGCACTCCACCGCCATGCAGGCCAGGTTCAGAGGAGTGTTTTCAGTGGTGAAGAGAGTAAGCAGGATGAAGATGCAACAAACGGAGACTTTCAGTCTGTAGACGGTGTAGCTGAGGACGAACAGGAGGACAGTCAACGTCAACTGGATCATGTCGTTGACCACCAGGTGAATAAAAAGGATGTAGCGAGGATTTGTGTAGAAGATCTACAGTGTGGGAAGAAAAGCACAAAGGTTTAAAAGAAAAGGAAAGTGAAGTCTGAGTTAGAGATTTAAACAGAGATGCTTTAAAGTTAAATGTGGGATCTAACCACTCATTATCTGTCATTGGTCAACCCGTTACAGTCAACTGCTTACTCCCTTAGCTAGCTGCTAAAAATACCTACTCCCATTGTGATGTGATGACCAGCTGAGCTCATATTCTGGATCCAGACCTCTGGACTGTCCAGTTGTGTATAAGGATCCAACGCTTTAAGTAAGACCACATTTGCTACGTTTTACATACAGATGAGATGCTCTGTGTTTCTACCCAGGCGTAAGCTAGTTATTATAAGAGGTATAAGTCATCCTTATTGACACACAGACATATGTCACAGTGTTTTTATCTTCTACTCTGTTCATGTCATGTGGGACCGTAAAACAAGGTTTATGCCCGTGTTGAGTTATGGGACGAGTACGGACATCATCTCTGCCATGGCAGATTGGACGCCGGCCAGCTGTGATTTGTGGCCTCAGAGGCCTTGAAGGGGACTCTTCCCTCTCCGGCTTCTCTGGGGATATTTCTGAATCTCCGGACTTTCTGGACTATAAACGAGAGTTGGTCTAAATTCGTTGGAGTGTTTGTAGATGGAGACAAGGAACCTGTAGATTAATATCTGACTTATTGAACCAAAACTACCCCAAACTGTAGACCTGCACTAGTCTCTTCTTAAACTAAGAGTCCTCTCATAAAGGCGTCTACTCGTCAAAGAAATATCCGACCTGGTGTTTGCAGAAGGTGCGAATGAGGCCGGCATTGATGTAGTTGATGGAGATTCCGAGAACCACGACTATCACGTTCTTGGTCAGCGCTTTAGAGAAGGAGTCTCGATACTGTAAAACCAACGTCACGTTGGCAGACGACACGTTCATCTCTTCTAACTGGAAAGAAAACAAGAATATTCTTCAGTTAAAAGTCCATATTTAAGGATCAATATTTACAACTAACAAGGTCAAATCTTGGAATCAACACATAATGTTGCTAAACGTCTGGAAGCACTTTTACACATTTAACCAAAGGAGAGATCAGGTCCAGAGACACTTTCTGTTCAAGCAGTGACTTGAGTATATTCAGAATCATTTCCCTTATGTACAATTCTGTTACAGAAACAATATTGAAAGCGCATTATAGTTCATTATCACTGTCAGTCTTCACAATGAGTTGCAAATGTATTGCAGATAATAAAACACACTCAACTTTAAGTATTTACTGGAGATTCAGATGATAACATGACAGAAAAGCAATTGACATATTTTTATATATAGATGTGTCACATAAATCTGTGAAAGTTAAAAAGAATCTAGATTATATTGAACAATCATGTGGGTGGAAGTTAAACATTTTCATGGAGAATCTTGCATAAAGCAACTCACTAAAAACATTTAAGAAATCCTCATTTCAACAAAATGTTACTCTTTTATTTTAAATAATTCAATGTAAAATCATACGATTGAAGTGTGACAGTAATAAATAAGTATGAAAGTAGAGTCTGAATATATTTCAAATCCTGTTGAAGCAGGGTAAACTTTCTACACCAAGCACTTACAGCATTCTGTAAGTGCTTTTGTCATATTAATATTGTTTGTAGGATTAACCAAAGAGTCTGAGAGTTGAACTAATTTAAAATGCTGCTGTGGGAATGAAGAAACTGAAGCTATGAAATAAAGCACATTAGAAAGATTAACATTGAACAAATAACCAAATAAAGTTATCGAACACAACACGTCTCAGACGGGCATTTTTCTTATATTTGTCCTTCGTACCGGTGTTGAATACACAGCTCAGAGCAGTGATGCGTCCACAGCGAGCGGCTCTTACCTTCGTTGTGCTTCACCATGTCCAACACTGTGAATCCAAAAAACCTGTTTAAATGGGAGTGATGCCAAATGTCCCAGAATTCCCCTGTGATGACACGTGGGTATTAGGTGTGTTTTGTTTGTACATCACATCACATCACACGTCATTTATCTGACGCTTTTATCCAAAGCGACTTACAATAAGAACATTTCAACAATAAGGAAACAAACTCAGAAGAACAAGAAACAAGAAAGTGTGATTTCATCAACTTGCTGTAGATAAGAACCTTTATCATCATTAAGCACAGTTTAAGTGCTACAGTTAGTGTTTTAGTGGAAGTAGTGTGAAGAGATGTGTCTTTAGATGTGAAGAGTTTCTGTATGAATATTGTTGCTCTTTGTGAGCACAAATGTAAATTTAAAAAAAGGGATCAGCATCACGTGTAAGAGTAAACCATCGTTCTGCAAACACAGCTTTGACACGTTTAATCTCATACCTGATGTTGGGATTGAATTGTAATAGATAATACACAAAATGACGTGAATAATTCATGCAGAATCCTTCCACGTCCCTGACAGCGAACGTAAAGAACTACTGAACATAAATAATATTCTCCATCTAGTTTTTAGAGTTCCCTATAAAATAAATGGTGACATGTCTTTTCTAGAAGTGGTTCTTCCACCTTGCATGTATCAATAATTAAAGGTGATCAGTGTAGTAGTTATGAACCAAGTTTATTCTTTTAATAGATAGTTATATATAAGTGTAATATCTGAACCTGCTATTTCAATATGTAAGATCAATATGTAATCATTGGATGTCTTCTACTGCTAATACTTTCTTTTCTGTTTTCACATAACTGAAGGATCCTGATGGTGTTCATGGAAGGTGTGAACGACGGCTGCATTGATGGAGTTGATGGAGATGCTGAGAACCACGACGATCACGTTCCTGCTCAGCGTTTGGATGGAGGAGTCTCGGTACTCCAGCACATGAGACGACACCTTCACCTCCAACAGGAAATATTGATAACAATTTGAACACAAAGTACAATATTGTCCCTTCGAGTGAGCCGTTCCCAAAGTAAATGTGTTGTTATATACTTATTTATTTTTAAAACTATCCTTGTTAATTATAATATTATTATATTATAATTCGAGGGCAGCACGTGGTGTGGTGGTTAGCGCTGACAAGTCCTGGGTTGGACTTTCAGTGTGGAGTCTGCATGTTCTCCCCGGGTTCTCCGGCCTCCTCCCACAGTCCAAAGACCAGGTCCGGGGATCAGGCTGCTGGTGTGTGAACCTGAGTGGACTGGTTGTTTGTCTCTGTGAAGCCCTGCGATCGGCTGGCAACCAGTCCAAGGTGGACCCCGTCTCTCGCCCGTCCCTGTCCAGCCGTCTACCCTGTTTCTCAGTCCGTCTGTCCCTCTGTCTGTCTCTCTGCTTGTCTCTCTTTCTTTGACCGTCTGTCCCTCTGTCTGTCTCTCTGCCTGTCTGCCTGTCTGTCAGTCAGGAAGTCAACATGAACATCCTAAATCAGTGAATTTGATAGATGCTCATTCTTTATCATAGTGCGACCTCGTCCTCATGTGGTGATCGGTGGTGGACGTGACGCAGGAGTACAGAGGGAGCACTGGGAACCACAAGGTTGGTGGTTTGAGTCCCATGTCGAAGTGTCCCTGAGCAAGACACCTGACCCCTAAATGCTCCCCGGGCGAAACGTGATGTAAGTCGCTGTGGATAAAAGCTAAATGACCTGTGATGTGATGATGTCACAAATTCAAACGAAGCTTGTTCTCTTCTGTATGATCTTTTCTAAAAGTGATGATGACGGTAATGTCGGAGGAAGATGCTCGCTCAGTCAGTTCTTTTTCCGTCCTGAGAGCTGGTTGGCTCCACTGGGGACGTCCCTGTCTTCCCCGACTCCTCTGTGGTCCCAGGAGGCGAGTGGCGTGCCGTCGGTAAAGGTCACGCACTTGTTGTGTAGCGAGCTTTGTTTGTTAGAAACGTCTTCAGAGAGGACATTAGAAGAGTCTGATGATGTTTAACACGGCTCTGAGCAGCGTCCTTGATGGGGAACAGGGACATTAGAGAGACAAGGACATTCTCAGTGGACACGATCTTCATCATCATTGTTATCATCATCTGCCTCCTCTAAACTTTTTCCACACTAACACCAATTAACTGAAACTTTCCTCCAACGTTTGTTTGATGATCACAAGCTCTGCTTTCATCAAGTGGATCATTGCTCTCCAGTCAGGATGTGGACAGAGGTCCAGTCATTTCGTTCACAGTGGGACATTTGACCAACTCGATTCAATATTTTCAATCCTACATGGAGTAGAAATCTGCACAGCTGAGTTGGGTGAGAATCCCATTTCAGAACTTCTCAGGAAAGACTCCTGTGTCCTCCAGGAGAAGTTTGCATCCACACTCACAGTTTGGGGAGTGTGGGAACTATTGCGTCTCTAAAGTGCGAAAAATAAGAGTGAGTGAATTTTCACATAAAAGGCCTGACTTCCTGTTTGGTTTTATATGCTATTGATTTGTTGAGGACAAGGCAAGTAGTTATACGTCTTTACCCATTAGGCCACACCCCTTACAACTTCATTGGTCCATAACTTCTAAACACAATCAGATATCAAACAAGTTAAAGGCATTGAGCCAATAATGATCCTCAGAAAATTTCGTAAGGATCGTACTCAGCGTCTGGGAGGAGATAAAAAACGTCTTTTTCACAAAATTCAAAATGGCGGAAAATCTAGTAAGGTGCGTTGCATACCAAGATTGACTTTTTTGTAAAGCATAACCAAGAGCACATGTGTGTCAAATTTAAAAATGAGCTAGAAGGCTAAAGTGCCCAATTTCTAGGGGGCGCTAAAGAGCCATTTCTTTGTACGTAACCCCAAAAATATCTACATTTTTGGCAGAGTTTTTGAATATGGGAAAGGCCTCCAAAGTGCTATTAAAGTGGAAAGTACACTTTCAAAATAGGGTTTCGCCCCGACTTTCCGAACTAATTCACTTTTTATAACTGTTTTGAGACTGAAGTTTGTGTCTCACTTAGTGGAACCCGTTCTATGTTAGTGGACAACAAGTTCCTATTCCAAACCACACCGACAAGAAACTTTTATTTGTTGATGAATAACCACAGCCAGAATAACAAATCCCAAAGGGAGAAACAGAGGAGCCGGAGGAGAGAACAGGTTCTAAAGGTCACCGTGAAGGTAACGAAGCATCAGCTGATCCCTGTGGAGCTTCTCTCTAATCAGAAGCCCAGAGGAGAGAGCTGCACTCCTCCAAAACAAACCTCTCATGGGTAGTTGCTTCATGCATTAAACTTTAAACTCTCGAGGTTAAACGTCTGACAGAGAAAAGTTCAGAGAAACTTTATAAAATAATAAAACCCTCCACAAAAAAAGGTATTTCTGGATTGTTCTAAATATTTGGTAAAACCTCAAAGAGCTTCTAGACATCACTGATGAGAACAGCTGATCTGAATCGAGTTCTGATGATCTCCACCTATAGATTTTAGAATTATTTTGCAGTTTATTCCATGACATAAGTATTTGATCACCTACCAACCAGTAAGAATTCCTGCTCTCACAGACCGGTTAGTTTGTCTTTAGGAAACTCTCCTGTTCTCCACTCATTACTGTATTAACTGCACCTGTTTGAACTTGTTACCGGTATATATAAAAGACACCTGTCACTCAATCAAACAACTCTCCACAATGGCCAAGACCAGAGAGCTGTGTAAGGACATCAGCGATAGAAGTCTAGACCTGCACAAGGCTGGACGGGCTGCAGGAACACAGGCAAAATGCGTGGTTAGTAAGTATTAGAAAAGATGGCGGTCAATCTCCCTCGGTCTGGGGCTCCATGTAAGATCTCACCTCGTGGGGCTTCAATGATCCTGAGGAGGGTGAGGGATCAGCCCAGAACTACACGGCAGGACCTGGTCAATGACCTGAGGAGAGCTGGGACCACAGTCTCAAAGAAAACCATTAGTGACACACTACGCCGTCATTAAAAACCTGCAGCGCACGCAAGGTCCTCCGCGCATTTCCAGGCCCGTGAGAAGTTTGCCAATGACCATCTGGATGATCCAGAGGAGATATGGGAGACGGTCATGTGGTCTGATGACACGAAAATAGAGCTTTTTGGTCTAAACTCCACTTGCCGTGTTTGGAGGAAGAAGAGGGTCATCACAAGGTTGGTAGTTTGAGTCCTGACTGCCCCATGTTCCATGTCGAAAGTGTCCCTGAGCAAGACACCTGACCTCTAATTGCTCCCCGGGCAAAATGTAAAACGCCATGTAATGTAAGTCGCTTTGGATAAAAGCGTCAGCTAAATGACCTGTAAAGTACAAGCCCAAGAACACACCAACTGAGAAGCAGGGAGGTGGAAACATCATTATTTGGGGATGCTTTTCTGCAAAGGGGACAGGCCGACTGCACAGTATATATGAATGGGACCGCGTATCGCCAGATCTCGGCCAACAACCTCCGTCCCTCAGTAAGAGCATTGAAGATGGGTCAGCTGGGTCTGAACCCACAACACACAGCCGGGGCAGCTAAGGAGAGGCTCCAGGTCCTGGAGTGGCTTAGCCCGTCTCCAGACCTGAACCCAATAGAAACTCTTTGGAGGGAGCTGAAAGTCTGTGTTGCCCAGCAACAGCCCCTGATGTCTGTAATTGCAAACAAAGGTTTCTGTAGAAAATATTAAGTTTGGCTTTTCTCATGTATCAAATACTTATGTCATATAGTATATATATATATATATATTATATAATTATTTTTTTTAATCATATATGTTCCGGTGTGGAAAAACCTGCAAAATCGGCAGTGTATCAAATGCTTGTTCTACCCACTGTACATACAGATGTTTATACTAACATCTGTCCTGTTTGTGTTTTCCTAAGATGTCATGAATGAGTACGCATTCATAGAACGCTGATTCTGACCTCAAATGTTCCCATGACGCCTGCATGGACTCGTGATGGTTTCCAGTTTTGTGACGTAGTACTAATCATGGGGAATGTAGACAGTTCATTAAATCATTCATATTTTAACAGTTATTTATTTAATGCTCATTGGATCTGCTGACTTCATATTCTCTCATAAATGAGACACAAAGTGAAAAGTTTACTCTTTTATTGTCGTCTGTGCTGCAATACAGAGACCCATCAGAGAAATATACAAAGGAGGTACAAAAACATACAAGAGTTCAAATATAAAGAGTGTGTATGTATATATATATATATATATATATATATATATATGTGTGTGTGTGTGTGTGGTCTTCAGCTTCCGTTTGTTTCTACAAAACTACAAGCGAGAAACCAAATGATCAATATAATCAGTCTGAAGTGACGATGATGATGAAGGACCACTTTTTAATTCTTATATAGATTTATTCTTTAACACGTCCGACTATGATAAGTGCCGTGGAGAACAAATGAGATTTAAGAGAGAGAGTGAGACCATATTCAGTGGTGACCAACGACTTAACTTCCCTTATAGTTTGAAACATAAACTCTCCTCTTCGTCAGTCAGATCAGTGGTACCGATACGTTAATCTTTATTAAAATGGTTTTCTCTGTTTCAAATAAACAGAGAAACAATCTGCTACAAAGAAATCACATCAAACACCCGAGGAGATCCGGTGTAAACACAGCGCTGATGGTGACGAGGTGCTCGCATGGTGTCCAGTTCAAGAGAGTGACACCGGTTATTAATGACACCGGTTATTAATAACATCAGATATTAATGACACCAGTTATAACAGCAGATGCATCCTACATGTAGAATTGATGTTATAACATGTTATTAATAACACCAGTTATAACAGCAGTCGTACACGCTGGTCCCGTTTTAATGAGTTGTTGATGCTTTAGTGTGATCCTGGCTTCACATGAAGGTTTTCTTCTAGACGACCGACTGAAGACCCTGAAGGTTCTGGTCAATTTGTTTGTGATGTGCCCTCCTCTTCCTCGCTCCGTTCCGCTTCCTGTGTGATGTTGATGAGGATGCGATCACTTCCTGGAGAGAAGCTGGTTCTCCAGTTGCTCCAGACGAGCCGTCATGGCCGACAGTAGATGCATCGTTAAGGGAGATGTTTTGCTTATGAGTTACGACTCTTCTCGTTCCTGCTGCTGCACAGTGATGAACTCAGTTTAACTAACAGCTCATTGTAAGGTCACAAAGACATGCTTCATAGTTTCAGCAGATTCTACAGAACAGAAAACCTACTTATTCTTATTATACTCATTAGTCTTCACACAGGTTCCTCTATGACTTACTGAGGAACCGGTCTGTGCTCCTCACCTCCGACCCAGAATACAAAGCGAGTCCTGGTCTGTCCCCCTATTAGTGTTTGGATGAATATGTTTCTTTAGATGAAGGATATGTTTGCTGGTGAGCTGCTCCAGGCTGCTCATGGTGGCCTGCTGGAACTCCACCAGGCTCTCACAGGCACACGGGTCCTTCACCTCGATCTTTCCCTGACTCTCCGCTGCACAAACACAGCGTGTCCGTCAGATGGATTACATACATGTTAAGTTAACCCTTTCTTCAACTCCTCCCGGCATTGGTCTTCTATCAGTAGATGGACAACGGGACATCATGACATCACCACATTATGACATCATGGCAGACAGTTTTACTTTTGTTGAAAAAGATAAAATCCTGTTCAACAATTATTAATCAAATCTTTCCTTGTTTACGTATAATGAAGTAGTCTGTATGGTTTTATTCTAAATAGTTCTGCCGTTTTCTTACTGTAGGCCCATGTTGGGTGCTAGTGGCGTTAGCATGGTGCTAACCGGACCGCGGTGCCGTACCTGGGCACACGTTGAGTTTCAGGTTCTCGGCGATGGTGCTGATGGCGCTGAAGTCGGTGGTGTAGTAGAAATGTTTCTCCAGCGGCTCCGAGGCGATCTCACGCAGTTCGTCCTCCACGGCTTTGCCGACGCCCACGGCGTACATGGTGATACCTGCGAACACACACACACACACACACACACACACACACACACACTTGTGAGCAGGTCGCCTGCAGAAACCGGACTGCAGCGCCCCCCCTCCAGGTCTTACCGGCCTCTTTGGCCTTCTTGGCAAACTCCGTGATGTCGTCCTGCGAGCGTCCGTCTGTGAAGACCAGCCCGACTCGGGGGATGTTGCGGTCGGCGGGTCGAGCTCCCTCGGCCTCCGAGAAGCTGGTCTCCAGCATGTGCTTCAGGGCCAGACCCGTCATGGTGCCTTTCTCCATGTAGTCCACCTGGAAGAGGACAGGAGCTCTGGTGGGACGGCTCGGCTCGAATCAAGATTGTTGGACAATTACCTTCTACAAACATCTCTAAGCGGTAAAAGCTTTCACCTTCATGACGGCAGCTTTGATCTCATCAGCAGTGTGGTGCCTGTTGAGAGGGAACTCGGTCCGAACCCTAGACGAGTACTGGACCAGACCCACCCTGGTACCCTGAGCTGACACGTCCAGAGAGTCCACCACCTGGAGGGGGACCAGGGGGAAGGAGGACGAGTGAGGGAGGCCGAGCAGGAGGACGATTCTTGTTTTATACTTGGCAATTCGCCGGATTCTGAGAACGTTTTGTGAACGGCTCGATATTGCAGAGACATGAATCCATACATATATATATATATATATATATATAATTTATATATGATATGGGAAGAAGTCCCACCTGGTTGACAAACTTCTTGACCAGCTCAAAGTTCTGAGGCCTGACGCTCTTGGATCCGTCGATGAGGAGAACCAGGTCGATGTTCGCTGACTTACAGCCTGAAAAAGAAGAAGTATTTTTCATATAGAATCTCAGACATTGTTACAACCGTCGTTATCGTATTCAGAAATCTGCATGTTTTTATTTTCCAGTTGTTAAAGGTAATCCATCCATCCATCCATCCATTGTCAAACCGCTTATCCTGCACACAGGGTCGCGGGGGGGCTGGAGTCCATCCCAGCCAACTTCAGGCGATAGACAGGGTACAACCTGGATTGGTCGCCAGCCAATCGCAGGGCAACACAGAGACATACAACCATTCACACTCACATTCACACATCTACGGGCAATTTAGAGTCCCCAATCAACCTGATCCCCAGAGCATGTCTTTGGACTGTGGGAGGAAGCCGGAGAACCCGGAGAGAACCCACGCAGACACGGGGAGAACATGCAGACTCCACACAGAAAGGCCACTGGGCGGAATCGAACCCAGGACCTTCTTGCTGTGAGGCGACAGTGCTAACCACCACGCCACCGTGCCGCCCTGTTAAAGGTAATAATAATGTTAATATTAAAGGTAATCTTAATGTTAACGTCAATTTTACCGTTATAGGTGAGGCAGCACCCCCCCACTCCGCCCCAACGCTTGTTGAGCCCAATGATAAATAAACCCTTTGGGACGCTACTCATGTGGGGCGCCATGAATCGGTTGGGCTCGGTTCCCCCAGACCAGGCTGAACTGGCAAGCGTCCGCTTATTTCATGGCCTTGTATTGTGTATTACAGGATGATTATTGCGTGATGAATATGAAGGTGACCATGGCGGTCTGGATTGGCTGAAGGACTTTAAAGGACTCACTGCCACAGCTCTGGCCGTCCTCCTGCAGCAGCTGTCCCTCGGGACAGACGCAGTAGAAGCTCCCCGGGGTGCTCACGCACTGATGCTCACAGCCGTGCTGCACGCTGCTGCACAGGTCCATGTCTGCAGACACACACGGGCTCAGTAAGGCTTTAGTTTAGACCCGAGATCAACTCCCCCCGACACCTCACTGACTTGTGCACGTCTTCCTGTCCTCATTCAGCTTGAAGCCTTCATTGCAGTCGCAGGTAAAGACGCCTCGCGCACTGACGCAGATCTGCTCACAGTCGTCTTTCCCCTCAGCGCAAAGGTCGATGGCTGGAGGACGCACACACACACACACACACACACACACACACACACACACACACACACAATGACACAGTGGACTGCTGCTGATCTTCTAAGGGACGTCTTCAGGCTGCAGAGATGAAGTACAATCTTGTACTCTAGACCGTGTGTGTGTGCGTGTGTGTGTGTGTGTGTGTGCGTGTGCGTGCATGTGTGTGTGCGCGTGCAGGGCCTGACTAACGTGTGCACGTCTTCTTGTCCTCATTCAGCTTGAAGCCTTCATTGCAGTCGCAAGTGAAGACGCCTGGTGCGCTGAAACAGATCTGCTCACAGTTGTGTTTCTCCTCAGCGCACAGGTCGATGGCTGGAGGACACACACACATTAATATAAAGTGTGTGTGTGTGGATTTTACTACAAAGTATATCATGGACACGGTTTCATCAATCCGATGGATAAAACGTTAGAGAACAAAGGTAAATAAACTTAGATTATCCTAATATAAATACACAAGTTAGAGATGATGCGGACGTTTATGTGTAGTCCCGCCCTAAAGCATATTAGAACACATGTGACCATGCACCGTGGTCACGTGACCATGCATTGTGGCGTATGTGTTGTGTGTCTATGTGCCATTGTCGTCGACTCACCCTCGCAGCGCTTGGCGTCCAGCAGCCTGTATCCTTGGTGACAGCGGCAGAAGTAGCCGTTGAGAACGCCCTCGCACTCGTGATCGCAACTGTGGTTCCCGAAGGAACAGTAGTCGATCACTGTGGGGGGCAGAAGCAGCGAGCGGGACGTTTAGATCCACGCTGCTCATGTGTCACGAGCAACAAATGTTAAATACGTTCTGAGATCTCAGAAGGAGAAAAGGAATAGGAGCTTTAATCTTAATGGACTCATGTTTTAGTTCTTTTGAGTGATGGTTAATGTAAGTCTGCAGAGAGATGATGAGTCAGCAGTGTGTGTACATGTTTGTGTGTATGTGCACTAACTTGTGCACGACTTCTTGTCCTCGTCTAGTTTGAAGCCTTTGTTACAGTCGCAGGTGAAAGAACCGGGAGAAGTGACGCAGATCTGCTCACAGTCGTGTCTCTCCTCAGCACACAGATCGATGGCTGGAACACAAACACGCACAGATGCATCGTGTATGAAGCATCTCTTTCTGCATTTGTCCTCATGTGGTGTCCAGAGATATTTGGGATATTAAGTTTGGATATCTTCTGTGGATCGAGTCCTGGAGCCTAGCAGTGAGTCAGCACTTCTAAGCTTCCTGCTTGTGCCCCTGGTTAGGTGTAAAGTTCTTTTTTTGGACCCGACCCCCTAGATGTGACCTTCTGGTTACCTGCGCACGTCTTCCCGTCCTCCCGCAGGGTGTAGCCGGGCAGACAGAGGCAGTGGAAGGAGCCCGGAGAGCTCTCACAGATGTGCTCACAGCTGTGTTCCGACTCCAAGCACAGATCGACGCCTGCAGCAGAGAGATCCATAATATATGCATATATATATATAATAATAATAATTAGGGTTTATTAGATTAGATTAAAAAAACAAATTAATCGCACATTTTTCATTAATCTTGATTAATGGCGATTGATGAATGTTGTTGTGTTGTTACAATATTTTTTTTTAAATGAATGTTTGTTTTTCTTCTAAACAGTAATGACTAATGAGGGATCACGTTAGAAAATTGTATAAGTGTATTTTAGACCCTGTTGTTTAATTGCTAATGTTATTTTATGTCAACACATTCTGATCTTGGAGGCAGAATTCTACTTGGTGGAACACGTTGAACTAGCGACTCTTCCTGTCGTCCTCGTGCACTTTGCTCTGAACTCTCCATCATTTAACGTGTTTGAAGTGCCAACAATGTCCCCACATTTAGCAGGACGTTTTCAAACCACGGTCTTTTAGGGACACAGTGGTGGTCCTCTGCAGAGGTAACGTTAGATGTTGAGATAGAAGTAGCACAGCAGCTAGTTTAGCATAGCAGTGCTTTAAGATTTCCAGTTTACTTCCGGTCCCGGAAAAGAAAGTACGTTAAAATATCTTGTTTGATTAATCTCGGCCACATTAATCGCATAGATTAGTGCATTTATGTTGACAGCCCCAATATCCTCATCACATGATGAATGTCTATCAAATGGGGTTGTTTCCCCTGAACTCCATATACATAATAATGGTGTTTCTATTTATTTCAACTTTAATTGTTTCAAAATCTTTATTCCTCTGAGTATCAAACAGCAGAGCCAGAGATGCTGTCTTCTTCCTTGACAAAGCCTGAAGCCTACATTACCCATAATGCAGCTGGGCAAGCGACGGTTGGGTCAGAGATTCAGGTGTGCTAAGCTAGTAGCAGCTAACGTTTAACGTTAAAACACAAGGGATAAATATCGTGTTGAGACGGCGTGATGAATCAGCAGCATCACAAGACGCGCAGGTGTGATGTCATCCTTGAACCTTTGATGTCATATGTCTTTGATTGATGCTTGATAACATTTCCCGTAATTTTTTTTAATTTAAGTAATAAAATCTGAAACTTGACCCAAAGCTACTTGGAGTGAACTTCCATACAAATCTATTCTCTTTTTATGTGGGGACGTGATTGTCCTTGTCTGCATCTCACCGCAGAGCTTGTCCTGGAACTGCAGCCCGAATTGGTGGATGAGGTCGAAGGACTCCACCAGGAAGACATGGTCCTCAAAGGGTGGCGACGCCATGGCCCTTAGCGACGCCATGTCGGCCCTTGCCACGCCCACGGCATAGATCTCGATGCCTTTCCCTCTGGCCTCGGCCGCCACCTCCGCCACGCGGTCCTGAGGACGCCCGTCTGTCACGATCACGGCCACGTTCGGCACCTGGGGGGGACAGAAGACCTCTGGGTCAGAACGCAGGGGGACGCTGGTAGGACGGAGGTTAGAATCCCTGTTAATCAAGGAATAATGCTTAACTAGAAATAAAGACATGTCCTTCATCTATTTCAACTGTTTCTCTACTTTGAATCTTCATATAACAATAAATAACATGTAGTGATCGACGCCTGCAGCAGGGAGATCCATAATGTATGCATATAAATATATAACAATAATAATAATTAGGGTTTATTAGATTAGATTAAAAAAATGAATTAATCGCACATTTTTCATTAATCTTGATTAATTAATGGCGATTGATGAATGTCGTTGTGTTGTTACAATATTTTTAACAATAAATAACATGTAGTGACAGATTTTCGTTGGTCACTCAGCAGGGTGCAGGAGAAGATCCTGTTCCTCACACGCTCACACAGAGATTCCAAGTCTTCCAAGGTGTTTATTAGTTTTATACTTTATAAACCACAACTGCATCTATATTTCGTTCTTGATCTCGCTGCCCATCTTGGGAGCGGTAAAAACCGTGCGATCTCCCCGTCACGATACCCTAATTGCACCTGTGCCCCCATATGTAGACTGTGTCACGCTGCCACCCGTGGCCAACCTGAGATTGGCTCCCAACACCAAGACGTACACAAACCTCCTGAATGGCTCCTACATAACATTTTAACTTTATATATTGTTCTGTGACATATCTTTTACCGCTATCCTCATCCAATCAACGTCATCTCAATGACACGGAAGATGTGATTGTTTGGCTAACAGCTATGAGAGTTATCATGTGACTCAAGTGTCTTTAAGTCCACAATGAGAATCACGTCTCATCCGGTTTGGTTTACAGCGCAAGATCCTCCTCCTTATGAATACGTGTTTTTCAGTTTGAATAACAAATTGGACATTAGTTAGCTTTCAAAAACAACGTTTGCGCATTTGCAGGTATTAAATAATTGTCTAATCATTTTAGAGGCCCCCCATACTTTAGCTGTTGCCTCTTTGAGGGGGTATCGGATTCTTAAAACCCCCAGAGCCCCCCTTGTATGTCACCCAGTGATTGCATGATCAGGGTTAGCACGTTGTTGACTGACAGTTAGCACGTTGTCTGAGGATTAGCATGTTCATTTACTAAGGGTTAGCATGTTGTTTACTGAGGGTTAGCATGTTGTTGACAGCCCTTGACTGAGGGAGTTAGCATGTTGTTTACTGAGGGTTAGCATGTTGTGGACCGAGAAATGTTTACCCTTTTCGTCTGAAGATGGCGTGCGAGGTAGAGTGTAATGTCCACTTTGTGGAGACTCTTTCTCCATTAAAGTCTAGCGTCTCCGGCCCTGACGGAGGGAATGTGAATCTGGCGGCTCGCCTCACCTTCGGCCGGTCTCCCTCCTCGTCTATGAAAGCCGAGTTCATCACATATTTGATGGCGAGTCCGGTCATGGTCCCCTGAGCGAGGGGGATGATCTCATTGATGCCCTTCACCATGGCGTCCAGCCCGGGGTGTGTCTTCAAGGAGAACTCGCTGCGCACCTGGAAACAAAAGAGGAGCAGGTGTGATCATAATCACCACCTATATTGCAGGAGGAGAAGCGCCAACAGGAGGTGGGCGGGATCCGGGGTCAGTACCTGGCTGGAGTACTGAACCACTCCCACCCTGGTGGCGTTGAGTCCAATGTCTAAGGTGCTGAGGATGTCGATCATGAACTTCCTCATGGTCTCGAACTCATGTGGCCGGACGCTTCGGGAGCTGTCGATGAGGAAGACCAGATCCACCGGACCGGACTTACACTTCTGCTCCGGACCTGAAAGGAGGAAGAGAAACCGTCACTGGGGGGGTCGGGTAGGACTCAAAGGAGCTTCGACCTCTGTGATGTTCGAAGAAAAAGCCAAAGTAAAAGTCCAGGGGGACTTCAGGGGACAATGATCTGATGTGATTTGTTATGTTTATGTTGTTTAAGTCGAAAACAATGTGTCTACCTGTGCATGTGTGTGTGTGTGTGTTCTACTTCCACATTATCTACCAGCTGGGCCTCGTCCTCCGGGACTTTGGGCTCCTGCTGTAGACGTGAGGTGGGTACCACGTGTTAGGGTTAGTGTGATAATGTTGTTATTATATGTAGGGTTATTATTATGCATAGGGTCATGATAACTGACCTGCTTTGGGTCGTGCGGAGGCGAGGACGAGCAGAGTCGTCAGGACGAAGCCACACAGCGCACTCATCTTCATCCTCATCATCCTCTTCTAGCAGACTGGAACCGGATCAGCCTTTCAGGGAGCAGAGGGGGGAATGCAGAGGTTGTCTGACTCAAGAAGAAACTCATGAAATATTTGCTTCATGTGCTGACGGGTTTAAAACAACACAGAGGGCATAATATATATATATATATATATATATATATATATATATATAAATATATATATATATATATATATATATATAAATAAATATATATATATATATATAAATATATATATATATATATATATATATATATATATATATAAATAAATATATATATATATATATATATATATATATATAAAACTTGGTCTGCTCTGTAACTGAGTGTTGAGGCTGCTGACGGAGGAACACCGTCGGCTCCACCAACAATACAATGAAGTAATAGTCAGATTTGTTTTGTCCTCGGGTGAGGAGACTTCACGCCGTCAGGAGACGTGATGGGCGTTACCGTGGTGATGTCCCCTCTACAGATTTGACCCCTCCTACTCCCACTGGCCCCTCCCACTCTCCTCCCACGAGGGCTTGATTTAAGGCTTTCTGGAGCGGACGAACTTCATCTCAATGTCTCCGGGTCCAACCTTTATTGTGAAGGACCTCCTGAAGGTTCATGTTTTTCTCATTTCCTCTAACAGGATGTCCAAAAAAAATAAGTTCACATAAGAACATACCTGTGAGAGAAGCAGATCTCATGTCTTCATATTGTGAAACAGTTTTTTATGAATTTATGTATGAGAGATACACATGTGGTTATCTTTGAATCATTACTAACATGGACTCATCCATTGTAAACAGGGCCATTGTTATTGTCATTATTATTATTATTATTAAAGGTGGGAGGTTTTATCTGTATCTATCTCGAGTTTTTCCTGTGCCGATGGAGGGTTTCGGGACAGAGGATGTTGTATGTGTACAGACTGTAAAGCCCTCTGAGGCAAATTTGTAATTTGCGATTATGGGCTCTACAAAATAAAATGAATTGAATTGAATTGAATTATCTGTGGCACTTTGAATCAAGGTATACCAGATTGAAAGAGATCATCAGGAGGAGAAGACACGCCCACTGCCACGTGATCCACGTGATGGCATTGAGGCAATACTCACTGTATTTAAATATGAATATCGCTTCATGTTTAAAGAAAAAGCTCATTTGACACAGAGGACAGATTTGAAGGACACTTGAGACACTTTATCCAGGTCGGTGTGTGTGAGCGTGTCCGTGTGTGTAGGACAAAGACGCCTCAGTATGACTTTCTGTAGCCGAGCCCCCGCCCGTCCCCCCGCACACACAGAAACCTTCCCCCCAACACCCACTTCCTGTCTCCCTCACTGAACAATCTACCACCATCATGCTGCGACCAGCATGTGCAGCCCCCCCCACACACACACACACACACACACACACTTTATTTTTAACTTGTATTTTTTATTTAAATTCCCCTTGCACTATGTTGTCTTACCTGTCTTGTTGAACATCGTCTTACTGTCTGATGTCATGCACCAACCGACAAGTCAAATTCCTTGTATGTCTGACATATTTTGGTCCCTGAGCCACTAATTGCTCCCTGTGCAAAAATGTAAAGAGCCATGGGTTAAAAATGCAATGTAAGTCGTTTTGGATGAAAGCATCAGCTGTAATGTAATTTGGTAAGAATATGCTCAGGATTAAACAGAAGTCGGTGTCTGTCCACATTAGTCTCTCACACTACTGGATCAATCAGCCATAAAGATTTCATTATGACTTACTGACTGCTCGTAAATCCATTCAACAGTTTAGGACTTGTCCGTCTAGGTGAATATTTCCATATGATGGTGTCAGTACTGAGGAAGTGGTTCTTCAGCTCACAGCTGCAGAAGGTTGTCTTCCCAATAAATCATATGGTTTGACCAGGATTAGCTTTGTGTTTTAGAACAGCCTTTTGATTCTTTTGGGCATCGTTGTTACCGCTCGCCTCCTCAGCTCATCTGATCCCAGAAGCAAAGCCCAACCTAACTTTAGTCAGACAAAGAGAGGGTGTCTCTGTTCGTCCTCTAACGGTCATAACTTTCATTTACGCCCACTCCCAGGTTCCTCTCAAGGTTCCTTGACCCTGAGGACTGGTCCATCACTTCCTGCTGCTGCCAAGCATCAACATGCTAACGCTTTCTGCAGACTTCTGTCTCCATGTCCTCTGACGGGTTTCTGCAGAACAGACCCGAGCGAGGCAGAACTCTGAGAGGTGTCCCCAATGAGGGTCAAAGGTCAGATTTACATGACGAACTGCACAGAAGGTAAGACAAGAAGCTTGAACATCAGTGTCCGCTCTGTTTCCTTCTCCGACAGCCGGACGTTGCCCGCACATGTCTGTCTCGCTCTCGCACGTTAGCACGTAAACAATGATACGTTAGCCGCGCCGTTGTATAAGCCGCAGGGTTCAAAGCGCGGGGAAAAGTAGTGGCTTATCGTCCGGAATTTACGATATATGAAGGTGTAAACATGAAATAGAACAAATTTGAACCAATCAGAGAAAAGAAAAGACGAAGGAAAGGTGTGTGTGAGAAACCTGCCGCCCGGCCACAGGTGGCTATCTCCCTAAACACACACACTCACAGGGGTCTGATAACAGGTCCAGGATGGAGGGTAAACACACACACACACCTCTCTTACTGTACGCTGAGCTGGAGCAACTGGTCTGTTCTTACTGGTGACACTGGTTGACTCGCGTGTTCTAACCGAGCCAACCTTCTTACTCTCACGGTGCTTGACCTGAACAACTAGAACATCTGGACAGAGAGGTTCAGCCAGAAGCAGAAGAGGAAGAGGAGGAGGCTTTTTGTTGTCATGGTGGCACTGATATTAACCACCACGTCACGCTCTGGTTTCAATCCTTTCTTTGGTGCACAGAGACCAGCGGACCATCAGGCTGCTTCGTATGTATGAGTCCGCGTTGTGTTGAGCAACACACCTTCAGCCGATGGACCCGAGCAACGCAGCCTCTTGACGAGGTCGCCATGGACGCTCTGCACACCGGCAATGGTGAGACACACAGGACGTTACGTTTACATTCATCATTTAGCTGAGGCTTTTATCCAAAGTGACCTACAATAAGTGCAGCCAACCAAGAGGGACCAGAACCAGAACAACAAAGTACAATTTCTTCAAGAAGAAAACCAAACTACAAGTGCTATAAGTAAGTGCTAATATAGTGCTACCTGGTCCAGATGTAGTGAGTAGAGGTGCTACCTGGTCCAGATGTAGTGAGTAGAGGTGCTACCTGGTCCAGATGTAGTGAGTAGAGGTGCTACCTGGTCCAGGTGTAGTGAGTAGAGGTGCTACCTGGTCCAGGTGTAGTGAGTAGAGGTGCTACCTGGTCCAAGTGTAGTGAGTAGAGGTGCTACCTGGTCCAAGTGTAGTGAGTAGAGGTGCTAACTGGTCCAGGTGTAGTGAGTAGAGGTGCTACCTGGTCCAAGTGTAGTGAGTAGAGGTGCTAACTGGTCCAGGTGTAGTGGATGCAGTAGATGTAACAGGAGCAGACTGGTAACCAGTGAAGGGAGCTTTGTCTTTCTGCTGACCTATCAATCTGTTCAAACTGTTTTTGGGGAGCTGGAGTCAATCTCACCCAACATGAGACGGGAGACGGGGTACACCCTGGATCGATCACCAGTCAATCGCAGGGCTGACAAGGAGACACACAACCACTCACACGCACATCCACGAGCAATTTAGAGTCATCATTGACCAAACCCCCCAGAGCATGTCTTTAGACTGTGGAAGGAAGCCGAAGAACCCGGAGAGAACCCACGCAGACACGGGGAGAAGGTACTTTTGAAGTTAGGTGTGTATGCAGTAGCCCCTCCACCTCTTAAAGCAACAGTGTGATTGACAACCTGTACAGACCGTTTAACTAATCACAAAACATCCACAACTGTGACATAACATCTTCTTTAGTGTTTTCACATGCAGTACACCCACCCCCTCCTTGTCTCAGGGGGTGAAGAAGTGAAGGAAAGGTTACAAACACTCAGCAGTCTGTCTGTGTTCAGACAGACAGGAGGGACTGAGACCTCTAGTTAGTTTTGAATGACAGCTGGAGAAGAACACACTGCTCTTGTTGTTAAGATTAGAGCCAGATGTGCCCTGTCTGTCTGCCTGTCTGTCTGTCTCACCGCTTGACTGGTTCCCTGTCTGTCTGTCTCACCGCTTGACTGGTTCCCTGTCTGTCAGCCTGCCTGTCTCACCGCTTGACTGGTTCCCTGTCTGTCTGTCTGCCTGTTTTACTGCTTGACTGGTTCCCTGTCTGTCTGTCTGCCTCACTGCTTGACTGGTTCCCTGTCTGTCAGCCTGCCTGTCTCACCGCTTGACTGGTTCCCTGTCTGTCTGTCTGCCTGTTTCACTGCTTGACTGGTTCCCTGTCTGTCTCTCTCACCCCTTGGACGGTTCCCTGTCTGTCTGCATCCTGCACTGAACATCACCTCCAGGCAACCAGTGTGCACCCAGAGAATGACCCCCCCCCCCCTCCCCACTATGTGTCTCTCTCCCCCCTTTCTCTCTCCCCTTTCTCTCTCACTTTCTCTACCGGTTTTATTTGTAGCTTCCTGTCGATCACACTGACAAAATAAAGCTATTTATGAGTTTATCAACATTGAATCAGAAGCAGCTTGTTATTATTAAGTGATCATCTGAATATTATTACTATTATTATTAAATAAACATTTTCTCTCTTTGCACCTTTTCAAACTGCCAGAATCATCGAGCAGCCGGACCGGATCCCGGCCCGCGGACCCGGCTCGGCTCTGCCCCGCTCCTGGGACCCCCGCCCCGGGCGGCCCGCTCACTCACCTGGGGACGCTGCTGGCGGGACGCGACGCTCCGGGCTCCGGCGGGTGGGACAGGTAAGGCAGGTGATCGTCCGCGGCAACAAGTCCGGTAAGACGCACGGCGGCGAGGACGCGCTCCTTTATCCCGACGCTCTCGCCGCGGTGTCACGTGTCGCTCGCGCCTCTCGCTCCGTGACCTGCTGCGGGCTCCAAGAGGTGGAGGCATTAGGGCGGAGACCCCGCCCCCTTCCTCCTGTCCGTCAGAGAGCTTCATGCCACAAACACATGAAAACTGCAGGAATATTTATACAGAAACCCTGAACCTCTATAGACCTCCACCAGTACACGAGACCATCAGGGACCAGATGTTCTATTTCTGGTTCCTTCAGCTCAGACTCTAGAAGAGACCAGTCCGCCCTGGACGACCCAGAACAGTCGGTAATACTTGAGTACATTTATCTGACGAAAACCGAGGTACTTTTACTTCACTGGGGTTTGAATCCAGGAGTACTTCCACTCTGTTGTATTAGTACTTTTCTCGCAGTAAAAGATTTGAATACTTCTTGGTTGACACCTGTTCAGTCGGGGCTCAAACTAAACTAATTCTTCAGCAGAACGACCTCTGACCCAGAAGATCATTACTCTGTGGGAGGTGAAAGTTCCCCCGCTCTCTTTCCTTACTTCTCTCCATTCTGTGTTCACGGTGTGAAATGCCAGAAGGTCTGAGCTGCCGACACGCTGACCTCTGACCTTTGAAGATGTGAATGTCTAATTTAGACTTCTGCCGGCACCCTGGAGCCTGAGCGCACACACAGGCGGTGTGTGAACCCTGACCTGGGCTGAAAGGTGGACTGACGGCGCTGAGGTCACTTTGCTGAAGACATGAACAATGTCAGAGCATTTTAGAAAACAGGCACATTGAGTCTGAGATGGATAATCTGAGCCTTGTGTTCCTGGAGAAAAGGTCTCTGTGATATTTCCTCCAGCAGACATTTGATCATTTGCTGAATGGCAATAATGTCAAAAACAGAACACACAAGTAGTTTCCTGGTCTAAACTCCCTGAGTCGTTTGGATGGACTCCACCAAGGACCAGTGTGTAATATTTCATTCACTTAACATTTCTGTTGCAGAAACGTATTTATTTCTGCTATAAAATCCACATTTTCAATCGGTAGAGATGTGCACAGGTTGTTCTCTTTATGTCTCTGGGATCAGGTAGCAGAACCAGAATAACTCCTCCATTGTCTCATGTGTGTTACGCCTCCACATTCCTGGATCTTCTGCCACATTCAGAACTGGGCTTAGCTTGTCTGTGTCTCACGGCTGTGAAGTCCATCATGATCATCACCATCAAGACTGAGGGTTCAGACTGAGCCCTTCTTTCCATTACATTACATTACAATAAGTTACAATAAGAACATTTCAACCATAAGGACACAAAGAGCAAGAAACAAGAAAGTGCGATTTCATCAAATAAGCCGATGTACAACTTGCTGTAGATAAGAACCATTATAAGTCCAATGTAAGTGCTACAGTTAGTTAGTGTGTTGGTGGAGGTAGAGTCTGAAGAGGTGTGTCTGTAGTCTGAAGATGTGAAGGCTCTCTGTGGTCCTGATGTCCTCAGAGAGCTTAGAGAACTTAGGAAGGTTAAAGACCAGTGGAGCTGCTGCATTCTGGATGAGCTGCAGAGGTGGAATGGTGGTAGCAGGAGACCTGCAGGAGAGAGTTACAGTAGTCCAGGAGGGAGATGACAAGAGCCTGAATCAGTACCTGCGCTGCCTTCTGAGGAGGACGTGTTCTCCTGAGGTTCCCGTCTCGCTGCTGAGTCATTTATTGGCTTATTCTGAAGACACTTTGTTCAGTTCGGGTCAAAGGTTGAGGTTGAAATCAAAGAAATTAAAATAAGATAAGACAGAACTCTGCTGTGGGCGGAGTACAGGCTGGACTCACTATCGCCTCTCCAGGTCACAAGTGGTATTACAACCCAGGGAGCTAACCGGTTAGCATGCTAACTTCAGTCTATATGTCCTCGCATTGTGCTCGTAGTGGTAGTAGAGCTAATGTTTCAAACTAAACGACAGGACATACACTTAAAGAAATTATTTCATGGCTGTTTGTGACTGACAGAGCTCTGTCCAATCGGCAGACTGGATCTGGGCTTTCATCATCAGTTGGGAGCACCGAGGGAACCAGGAACAGAAGCTCACGCTGACCAAAGCGTCACCATCCTGCATGCGAAGGTCGCTCAGAAGTCCTACGGCAACGAGAAGAGGTTTCAGCATTTAAGTATTATCAGCTTCATGTCATACAGAAGGACAACATCTACCTCTGAGATGTAGTGCAGTGAAATTATTATTATTATTAAATGATTATGCACCTCTGACATGTAGTAAAAAGTGGTTCTGATTCTGATGGACTGACCTCTGTCGTCACCTTCAGGTTCTTCTGCCCTCCTCCTTGTGTTTACATCAGCGGTGATGGATGGAGGGTCATGCAGGACCACCTGAAAGGTAGAGGAACCTGAAACACAGTGGGCTCACGAGAAGACCATTGAATACAGCTGTTTGTTGAAGATATGTCTCTCCAGCAGACGGCCGCGGTGGTGACTCGGCATACCGGCCGTGCGGTTACATGTGCCTGGACAGCTCCGCTCAGTCTCAGGCCGACTCCTTCAAGCTGGCCTTTGACGAGCAGCAGGACTCCAGGGTGAGAGGGATGGGGAGGGGGGCACGCCTCTCTGTCCGGACTGAGGAGGAGGGAGGGACGCCATTTTCTCATAGACTTGTGTAAGACCAGAGGAGTCGCCCCCTGGTGGAGACACAACGCTCTCTGTAGGTGCCTCTTGCCCCTGATGCTCAGTAGATTTGTTCCTACGGTGGTCTGGGTGACTTTTAATAATCCGCTGTTGGGCCGTTCTGTCCTGTTTGTGCCGTCTTCAGACGGATGTCAGACCTCTACCCTGTTGTGTCTGATGGAGAAACACCACCGTGTGTTTGTTGACTCAAACAAGAGCATCGGCTACTTTATTGCGGCCTGTTGTTGACTCAGCGAACAGTGGAGTCCGACAGAAGAAACACTCTGTGTGTGTCTACTGGCTTCTTCCTCGTCTGCGGGGGAGACACCAGGAGACATTTAGTGACCAAACATGTGTTCTTCTGCACACTATTCTTGCAGACCCCATGTCTCCTGAGCATACATTGAGCATCACAAACATCTTCTCTCTGTGTTTTATTCCTCTGCCTCCGTCTTTCAGATGTTTGCCTCGGCCAAGTCCCTGTTCATCTCCGACCAAGACAAGAGGAAGCACTTCTGCTTGCTGCTGCGGCTGTTTGTGGGCCACCGACAGGAAGTGGGTTCTTTCCACAGCCGGATGATCAAAGTCATCTCCAAGCCGTCCCAGAAGAGACAGTCCATG